TTCCTTTTTCTATCTACAATTTCTCTGTCTCTCTCTCTCAATATAATTTCTCCCCACGTTCTTTTCTCTCTTTCATTTTCTCATCATTTCTCAGCTTTCAAACACAGGTGCATGGCTAAGTGATTGCATTTTCAAATCCTAGAAAAGCGAGCATTGCTCCAATGATCAATTGATGGGAAGTTTACAATCATTCATGCAAAGGCGATTCTAGAGAATGGAAGAGAGGATCTTACGAAAAAAAAAATTGAGATGGTAGTAGTTCAACTTGAGTTAAAGGAATCCTGATTTAAAATTGAAGTCTCTCAAGTGACGTAGAACAAAACAATAGATTATCACACCAAATATTGTAGCTTGCGGAGATGATTTGCTCTTTCAAGTGGGGTAAAGAACCAATCCTCTCTAATTTTGATATTGCTACTGTTAGACCCATACATGAGACCTAAGGCTTTCTACCAATGCCTTACCATTGCACTTGGCTAGGAGGAAATCATAATTTTTCCCCTCCAATTTCTAACCCTAATCATAGTGGGAATAGTGATCCTGAAGGTCCCTAATTTTAATCTTTCTATTTTATACCGTAATTTTGCCTTGAATTAGGGTATAAAATTCAATAATAGTAATAAAATTTAACAAGAGAATTACACTCCATCATTAAATATCAACGGATTATTGACCATAAATGACAATTAATTTTTAAAAACTTATTCATTTTGTCAAAAATATAATGACGGATTGTTCTTGCTATTTCATTGCTAAATAGTAACCAAATTTTGAAAGCGACTGAAGTGGTTGCTAAAATTCACACTATAATTTGTCGAGAGGAGTTAAATGGTGGAATGGTGATTAATAATATGACTATAATACAATGATTGAATCAAACAATTAGCAATTGTTTACCGATAATTTTTTAAATCAGTCATATAGTGTAAGTTGGACATTTGTCTTGCATTCCAACTTACCCTACTTAGGGATATGTCTACTCTTGCCCATCTGACCTTACCAGGGCGCTTAACAATTTATTATTTATTTTTTGAGAAATTTGAGAGACGATCTCTACATACTCTATTAGTACTCATTTTAATATAGGAACTCTTGAAACAGTACTTTAGACCTAAAAGGGTCCTACTCTATTTTCAAGGATCTACCTCAAAGCATTTGGTTACAGACCATAAACTTTTCAAAATTATGGCATACAGGGATTAATATTATTGAATTAAAGTTGGTCTGCTTTTTGGTGAGATGCGTGATGCATAGTTTCAAGGCTAGCTAGTTTATAATTCTTATTAAAAGCGCTTGTTTGTAACGCCCTTAAACAAGCTAGCCAAATGTGTCAATTAGTTATCTGCAAGCTAATAAAAGGTGTTAGAGAGATATCATACATACATATAAAGATAGTATTGAATATGATAGCAAGCCAAGCATTCAACAACACAAGGCACAACATAGCACATAGAAGCAATAAAGGATCCATCTCATTAAAAGATATATAATATTGAGGCAATAAGTGAGGTCTTACATAGGTGTGGGAGTGGGAGCATTTATGAAGGGCCAATACTATGACTCAATAACCCAAGTTACTTGGTTAACTATCACTCCTCTAAAATATACATTAAAATGATAACTGGTAAAGTTGCATGAGGAAACATTCTTATATTTGATCTATCACACCCCTTACATCCCTTACATTAGGCCATTAAGGTACAATTCTCCGAAGTCTTTCTGTGCTAGGTTATACAGTTGTCTATAAAAATATAATTGAGGATTTTAATCAACTTAAACAAGACAAAGTTGTTGTGTTATACTAAGAGAGATTTGAACTCAAATCTTAAACAAAAGTAATCCTAGATTAATGGACTCAATGGTGAATGTCATATGACGAATTAACGGACCAACACTAGGACTTAAATAGCTAAAGCCCATAGTAAGCCTTAAACAATTTAAACCAATTTGCTTGTTCAATATAAATGGGCCTCGGACCAATAATTAGCCGAATACTCATATTCCATAAAAAGGTTTGCCTACCATATACAATAATTTAATTTATGAGGCTTAACGTGCCATATTTTCTCAAACTCAATTTTAGTTGGTTTTTCAAGCTTGATTTGTTTAGAAAATAAACTTAAACTCAATCGACATTTTTTTATTGAACCGAGCCTCAATCGAATATTTCACGAACTACTTGGTTCATTTTTTCATTCATAATATTTTATTATATATTGACTGAAAAAAATTCACCATTGATACTAAATATGACTTTATTTTGGTTTTTTAGTGATTCTTCGTTCCATTCCTTCTTCATTAGTAGGGTTATATATAGAATTACAATTCATATTCCATGCTGCAAATCGCACACAAGAACAAGACTTCTTATTCTCATTGTCTTCTATCTCCTTTTTTTTTTTTTTTATTCCATTTCATTTTGTATACCAAATGTAGTTTGAATGGTTTTAAAAATCAATCTAGGCTCAAAACTAGAATAATGGAAAAAGTTAAAATGCTTTTTTTTTATTCACATGTATTTCCATGCTCTGATTAGGATAATATTTACGTAAAGTTCTCTCAATAACGATGATTTCCATTCTCATTCCATTACATTTCCTATTTCATTATATATGTCTCATTTAATTCAAGTACAAATGGAATTTGAATAATTTTAAAATATAGTCTAGGATTTAATAGAATAATGGAAAATGTTACAATACTTTTTTTTTGTTCACACACGTATTTCCACGTTCAAATTAGAATGGCATTATGATAAAATCTTCTTGGTAGTGGTCATTTAAAATACTCTCTCCGTTCCATTTTAATAGCAATATTTGCTCTTTTCACAAGGATTAAGAACATGATGAGAACTTATTGTTTTCTAAAAATACATAGTAGAATGTCTAAATTGTCCCTTCTTCAATGTAAATATGAAAATAAATGACACTTAATAAATATGGATAAAATTTAAAAAAAATTATTAATATGATCTTAAAATTCTAAATGAGCACTTGAAGTGGAACAATATGAACTGCCTATTTATTGCTATTAAAATAGAATGGAGAGAGTAGTATTTATATTATGTTTTTATAAGAGTGCAACTCTAGACTTCAAATCTTTAATTTAACAAATAAAATTCACTTGACGATGCGATCCACTTTCGCTATTTAACCACTTGTTGATTAAAACAATATAGTATAAATGGTTGATGAGAAGTAACTATAAAGTTGCTTCATAATTTTACCACATAATTGCTGATTATTTTTTTACCTTAAGACATTATTTACATTGTAGGAAATTAAAGGAGAAATCTGGACTGAATTGAAAATAATTTTTATAAAAAAGGACTAAATTATAATTTTATAAGCAATTTTACAAAATCACTCTCATATTCTCTTACGGTAAAAAATATCAAAGAAATGTATTTTCTCTTGTTTGAGAAGGAAAAGAAAAATAATTTTGAATCTCTCCGATTCAGAAAGAAAATAATGGAGGAAAATATAGACTTTATTTATTTTTATTAAATTATCCAAATGCGCTAAAATAAGTTCCTTCATCAAATCCAAACACAAAAAAGAAAAATAAATAATTATGTTGAGAAAAATGACATTATTTTCCTTTATCTCCTTCCGAAACAAAGTGTAAATTCCACTACCGCGCACTAAACATGTTTACATATACATTAAGCAAAATGGAAGGTTAATAAATATGCTTTTCTCCTAGCATCTTGATTCCGTTTTAAAAAATGTCTTTAAACTAAAATTTTACCTAATGGTATCTCCAAATCAGATATCAATGAGACAAATTGATTGATCAAAAACCAAATGAGCTCAGATAAAGATGTGTATATTTTTACAGCAAAAAACAAGAGAGAACAATAATATCCTTTCCCTGTCTGGATTGAAGGAGTCAGTCAGGTCAGGGATTATCTATCTTCTCAAGAGAAAAATTCCTCTAATTCTTTTTCCACTAAAAAATTATTAAACCTTACTCTACAAAACAAGGTGTAACTTTCCCCATACTCAATATTTGAATTTGAAACTTACAAGTTCAAACAGTGAGTTGTCTCTTTGTGAACTCTATATACAACATACAACAGACGCTGCTCAAATGCGTTTTATAAATATCACAAATTAGGAGAAAGGAGATCTGGACCTTTCTTTTCTTTTACCTGTCATAGTTACTGGTTTATTATCAGAATCCTGGAAAGAATCTTCACTATCAAGTTTGTTATTGCAAGTTGTCGGACATTTTGGTTCCCAAGCACCCAACAGTTTACTATTATAATAGACACCATGCCCATTTTCACAAGTTTCCGTGTTCATCAACTCTTCGTCACACGCACTGCAAGCACTTTGTCTGGTAATGCAGACCCAACCTTGTACAGAATCCTCATTTCCATCACCCGCTATTGGCACATGCCACGATCCTTTTTCTGATTCCTGAAACCGAAATTAAAGGTAATTAAATATATAATTAAGATAAAGGCTATTATTCTGCATCAGTAATATTAAGCACCAAATAGCAATAATTCACTCATGAATCATGCTCTCACGTTACATATGAAGTGTATTTGGAAGGTTAAAAAAAGACCCACAATGGTAAACCTTTTGCATCTAAAATAAGATACTCAAAAGCTATAAACATATAGTCTCACGTGTATTTCATTCACGAAATGTACAAATACAATGAAAATACAACAATTTGGACAGGTGTGGAACAGCATAATGCACAAATATCCAATGGTATGAAAAGATTTGTCCAACTGTTTTGCACACAAGATATCCTTAACAACTTCTTATGATGCTTAGACTGAATTTTGCCTCAACTAATACTCTGTCAAATTCTATGTATAATTAATAGGGCAATGACCAAAATAAAACTGAGAAGGAAAATAATAGCCATAAACCAAGCATGGAAAAGTACTTTCATAAATAAAGTATGCCACAGGAGAAAGCAAATATTGATACCTTTTACAGAAAATGGCCGTGGCACCCGAAGTTTTAGGTTACCTTTTACAAAGGTATATCGAACCTGCAAACAACAAATAACAAAAGTCAGTCCCTCAAAAGTTATGCTAACGAACAATATTAAAAGAATAGAAAAGTACTGCCATGATACAGCGTGAATCCAAAGACAAATAAAATTGAATGGGTGTGTATATACACAAAATAACATTGAGAGATACATGAATGGGGCAACAAGATTTTTTGTGCAAGTTGTCAAGTTCATATTAAAGTAATGCAACCAAGCTACAGCATTAATTTTCAAAATAGAATCACTCACTTCATGATAACAGTAGTACTACTAAGCAGAAAACAAACCCAAATCACCTTTTATATTATTCACTAATCCATAGGCAAGGGAATGCAACTACATTATGCAATACATTAACAAGTTGCTAGGGTTGGCAAATGGGTAGGGTTAAAAAGGCTGGGGTAAAAATAACCCATTACCCAATTTATGATCCATTTTATTATTTATATGGGTACATAGGCAAGGGAATGCAACTACATTAACAAGTTGCTAGGGTTGGCAAATGGGTAGGGTTAAAAAGGCTGGGGTAAAAATAACCCAATTACCCATTTATGATCCATTTTATTATTTATATGGGTACTCATACCCAGTCAACCCATATAATACTCATCCACCCATACCCATTTGCATCCACTTGTTTACTACCATTAACCCTCTTTCTCCATCTCCACCACCAGCACCACCACCACCCTCTTTGCACCATTTTGTGGTAGAGACATGGATAATTAGATGACAGACAGATCAACTTATCAATTCCTAAGTTGTGGCAAAGAAGTGAATAGTTTCAATAACATAGTTGCAACACCACCACCACAATTGTCATCGCCATTACCACAAAAGCCACTACTAAACATTAACATGTCTAGCATTGTTTTTTGTTGCAGCACAATTTTAAGTTGTTTCATAGCCAGCATGGCTGTGGCTTTGGTTGTAGTAACCAACTTATGCACAAACGAATCAGTTCTCCATAAACTAAAATCCTGTATACCTATTTATAGTTTCTATGCATGAAAAAATCTCTTAGCATACATTTGATTTAGCTTTTGAGAGCCATCAATTGAGGTCTGGATACTCAATCATTGACTCAGAGCACCTAGTAAAGAGTGTTTAAAGGCCACCAGTCAGCATTTAGGCACCACACTGCTGAAATAGGAAGTTTGGGAAAAAAAAATTTTAAAATCCTGCAGTGTATTTTCATCCACTAGCTTTTGGATTTTGAAACTAAAAGCTCACTTTTGATAAAGAAAAGGTACTAACAGCTCAAAATTCTGCTTTTGTAAACAATACCATTGATGAGAAATCAATAGATAAAAAGAAGGCTCAATTTTAATACATAAAAGAAGAGCTCAATAGTTTGTAATTATTACAGGACGTTTTCATATCATTACTAGAGAGAAATATCAAAAAAATAAAGATTTTTGATGATGGTAGTTATGATGTGGGGTAGGGTGCTGGTTGCTGAGGTGGAGGAGGAGGTAAAGTTGGTGTCAGTGGTGGTGGAATTAGTAGGTACGGTAATTGGATATCTCCAACCCTTATCCATACATATATTAATTGGTAGTTGGGTTATGACCCATTTACTACCCATTTAAAATAGAAAGAACCTATTCATCACCCATATCCTTCTGTAAAAGAATGGATATGGACAAATTTTGTCACCTTTACATGTTGCACCCCCAAAGCAATGGAATTATCTAACTATTCATACTTAGGTTACAATTATAGGGCCACCGATTCATGGGATACATGGTATCAATAAAAAAGTTCATAATCAATAAAAATACATTAAAAATTTATAATTATTGACAAAATTAGTTAAAAAAGAAATTTCTCGAGGGTGACCTATAATACCATGGCAACAAATTCATCACAAGATCACTTCAAGGCTTGTTAGGACCTGGTGCATGTGCTGGCAAGAATAGATATTTTGTGAATCTAATGTGTCTCATCAAAGGATGCGCCATTTATCCCAAAGTTTTGGGTGAGAAATCAACATAGCTTAAAATGTGAAGACAGGCATATGCATTCTTATTTATTTCAAATACCAATTTCATCATATTTATTAAAGGAAGTTTAATAATTAAAAATTCAACAAATCATCATCACAAAAATGATATAAAAATATGAAAGGAAGTCTTGTGATGTACCACATACTTGATGCCTTTCTTTCCACTTGAGGAAAAAGTTGCTTCCCAAGAGTTCAAAGATATGATCCCGCATCTCATCATTCATTAGTAACAACCAAGCACCTCCACTTTACAGGAGCGTACAGCCTGAATTATGGAGAACTCATCAATATGCATATCAATCGTCTTACTAGTAGTTAATAGCCATTCAAGATAAAATAACATATTAAATCATATATAATCAGATGCAAGCACCCAGTTGTTAGGAGAGTCCTAACACAAAATCTGCAAACATATCAGTTACAAGAGATTTTTTCTCGATAAAAATATGGAGGGTTGAAAAGAACAAGGGTAAGAAAACAAGCATATAGAGACAAGTTGGTCCAGATACTCATACCAATCATCATTGGAACCATGAGGTGTTGTATTAAAGAACTTCTTCTTCTATCCACTCCTGAATCAGTTTTCTTTGAGAGAGAATTTCCAGGAGCGCACGGACACGTTTGTTATGGAAGATTATAAGTGGCCAGTTTCCGCTCCGATCGTACAGCTCTTTCACAACAGCATCAAGCTGCTTTATAGCAATTTTGAGATTGTCACTTCAATGAATCAGACCAATTTGTAATCAAAAAGAAACGGGCAAAATATAGATGGAAAGTTAAAACGACCAAAGACTCTACGAAAACAACCTGAGGAATGCTGAATCCACCTTCTGCAAAGTTTTGTTGATAAGAGTCCAACATTTGCTCCATCCGCTACTGCTTCATAATTGGCATGTTTTTCAGCCATTCTTACAATACAGAGGAAAAAAAAATGTACAAACAAAAATTAGAAAAGATAAAAACAATATCATTTTCCAAACAGATGGAACTACCAAGAAATAACTATCATCTATGCCTGCAAGTCATTATATTTGTACTTGTGAAAAGTCAAGCTTTTGGATCACCAATGTAAGTATGAAATCTACATTTTTCAAACCAATGTATTTCTTGCATCCATGCATTTGAAGAAAGAAAGTCTACATGAACATGAAGAGTGACCCAAGTTTAGAAAAAAGAAAATTAAACTTTAGAAAATTCAGGGGTACTGTGACCCATGAGTCATACACAAACGATCCAAAAGCCATGAAAGACCAAGCATGAACCCCCTGATACAATAAACAAAATATAAGAGAAACAAAATCATAAGCACACAAAACATTGTAATAGTAACAATAAAAACAATGATTTTATATGATGGTTCCAAGTTATTTCCATAACATTCCTGATTTGAACGTTGAAAGGTATTGTCATTTGGATGTTAATGGAGTAAACTTTTAATCTCCTCCCATGTTTATTATACAAACAAGAATAAGAGGTTAAAGTACATACAAAGACAAATTCCAAAATACATAAAACAAGAACAATACTTTACCATTGGGTTCTCTTAGATTATTTCCTCCATCAACTAACAGTTGTAACTACACCAAGAGCCTAGCATAGGCAATATCATCAAGCAAAATACCCTTCTCCTTCATTTCATCAAACAAAGCAGAGGCTTTATCAACATATCCAAGTCTTTGATACCCATAAATGAGACTGGTGTATGTCACTACATCCGGAGTCACATTGTTTCTTTGCATTTCCTCCATCAAAAAGCTGGCCATATCCATGCAATTTAACTTGCAAAATCCATGAATTAAACATGTATAGGTAACAACATTGGGTGACTGACCCTGCTGCAACATTTTTTTATACAATGCCCAAGCCTTTTTCATATTTCCATCTCTACAAAATCCAGCTATAATACATGAGTAAGTAATCTTATCAGCAAGCAAATCCTTTCGAGGCATCTCCTTAAACAGATTATAAGCTTCGCGCATTTCATTCCTGCGGGAGAATATGTTGATGAGAATTGTGTATGTGACCATGCTTGGTAAGATCCCAACTTTTAGCATTTTTGCATACAATTGCAAGGCCTTTGCAGCATTTGATTGTTTATCAAATCCATCCATTAGGGTACTGCAATGAACATCACTGGGAAAAACATTGTTCTTAATCATTACAGGAAATACTTCCCATGCTTTCTCAGACTTTTGCTCCTTACATAACCACTTGATAACTGTATTATACGTGTATGAGTTTGCTACAATTCCAAAATCTTGCATTTCATTCATAAATTTCAAAGCATCCTTGAGGAATCCTTGTCTGCAATATTCATTAATAATGACATTGCAAGTAAAAGTGGTTGGTGGAACACCAACTTGCAGCATTAGATTGAACACTTCCAAGGCTTTGTCTAAGAGCGCCCTTTTGCAGAACTCATGAATCAACCTATTAAAACAGAAAGTATTAGGAATCAAACCATTCAATGTCATCTCATCCATAAGTTCATAGGCAGATTCCATATTACCTTGCAATAAAAACCCATTCATTAAGATGTTGTAAGAAATCACATCCAATTTGTAACCCGAAGCACCAAGTTTGCGGAAAACATCTAGAGAATCATCTGTCTGTCCACTCTTACAGAGACTATTAAAGAGAGAGCTATAGGTAACTAGAGATGGTTTTACATCACAGTCATCCATTTTTTCTATCAAATCAATAGCATATTTTACATCCCCATTCTTGCAAAACCCATCAATCAAAATGCTGTAACTATAAATATCTGGAGATATTCCATTGTTCTTCATATCTTCAAAAAGCCTCAAAGCTTCAAACAGGTCACCTTTCTGGCAAAACCCATGGATGACAGCATTATAACAATAACAGTTGAGAGGCTTGTTTTCAGTTCTCAAAAACTCGAGAAGTTTCGAAGCAGAATCAACACAACCAGCTCTACAAAGACCATGAATATACACACTATAAGTTACAACTGTTGGGCTTCTCCCAGTCTTTTCCATTTCCTCTAGAACTTTACTTGCTTCTTTAATATCTATATTCTGCCCAAGATGTCCTTTGCAATAATAGTCCATCATAATAGTATAGGTGTAAACATTAGGTGATGGCCCAAAATCCTTCAACTCTTCAAACAAACTCCTAACAAACTCAACTTGATTGGCTTCACCAAAATCCTTCAACTCTTCAAACAAACTCCTAACAAACTCAACTTGATTGGCTTCAATACAACACTTGAGCAAGAAATTGCAAGACAAAATAGTTGGCTCCAGCCCAAATTTTTTCGCTTGCACAAACACATCTAGTGCATTCTCGAACATTTTTTTCTCTGCAAAAACTTTTATGAGTGCATTTATTATACTAGTTGATATTCCCGACGTGGTCACTTGGCAAATCCAATAAAGTTGAAAACAAATCTGGAACATCCAAATTAACTTTCTTGTAATAAGAAATGATTTCTCTAATCAAGAAGTGCACTTCCATCTGCAAGCCTGCTGATGCAAATGCATGAACAATGACTCTAAAGGCATTAATTGAATGAGACAACCCGTGGTCGCTAACTATTCTAAAGAATCGTTTGTCCGTCGCAAGTTCCCAATTCAAGGTCTTAAATATTGTCGCAACAATTGGAAACAATCCACTCTTTCTTGTATTACGACCTATCTTTGATTTCCCATGTTCTTTAGGATTACAACATCTCAATGCTTCCCCAACTATCTTACCTTTATCCACAGCACTAGAATCAAACACATGGTCTTCTAACATACATGCAGAGACAGCTGAATAATGCACTTTAAAGAGAGACTTTTCACATGAAGCAACAACACTGATTAAAGCTGATTTCAATGAGTATGCTGCTGAAGACATTAGGTATTAACACCCAGATTGTATTCTTGCAAGCTAAGAACTACAAATTTTATAATCCCAAAGTACCATTTTAGCTAAAATACTAATATCCTTGAATCATCGGAAAGTTACACCTGATAAAAATACATGCATGGATGTCAATAGAAATAAAATTACTTGACAAAACCTAAAATTTTGAGAAGAAGTCAGCACTTAAAAAAAGAGTGAGAATTTTAGGTTTTGGGAATGAAAGTTAAGGAATTCCCAAACCAATCCAGTAAAAAAAATATAATTTTACCATTTCTGTCCACGATTCAATCCAATAAAATGAGTTTCAGGCATCACCTCCAGGAAACAAACAAATAAACCCAAAAAAAATTAACTTTCACATGTAGTTCCACAATTTTAAATTCAATGAAGCTAAACAATAACATATTTTAAAACATAACACAATTAAATAAATAAATGTATGTAATTTAAAAAAAAAATTAAAAAAAAAAAAAAAAAAAAAAAAAAAATTAAAAAAAAAAAAAAAAAAAAAATCAGTTTTAATGAAAGAGAAAAAAAAAAAAAAAAAAAAAATCAGTTTAATTGAAAGAGCTCACCTCAATTTATGGGTATTTGAGTTGAGGAAATTACTTTTCCTTCAACTCGGTGATATTTTGGGTTAGCAAAGATGGTGAAACTTTAAAAGAGCGCAATTTTTTTAAAAAGAAAAAAGAAAGAAAGGGAGAGGGGAAGCTGCTATTCAGGACTTCTTCAGTTCTGTCAAAACTATAATGGTAATGGCTTCAAAACAAATAACCACAGCAAAGGAGAATATGGTGAACGGAAATTATGGTTATAGCTTCAAATGGTGCAATTATTATTTGTGTAATATAAATCAGTCAATTTTTGCCACGATGTGTAATAAAATTTTAAATTTTATATTGAGGTATAATTACAAAAAAAAAAAGCATAATTACAATAATTAGCAAAATTCATATAAATGTAATTAAAAAAAATAAGGAATGAAAGAAATAATAAATTAAAGTAGAATAAATTAATATTATTACAATAATTAGCATTTTCTGTCATTTTCATGATTCACTTTTTCCCCAAATTGGAAGAAAACGGATGAATTTTTTAAAATAAAATTTATAATCCAACAAAATAGAAGTAGAATAAATTAATATTATTTATAAAATAATTTTTCTTCCCAGTCTTCTTTTAATCCAAACAAGGGGGAGAAAATAATATTCACCCTATATTTTCTTTTCTCTTTTACATGCTTCCCAAAAATATTGTAAAAAGGAAGTTATTTGGATTGAAGGCCAAATTGGCCTTTCAAGTTTTCAAAAGGTTTAACTAGTCCTTAGATATTTTGTCTTGTGACAGCCCAAGAGGACAGATGAATTAGATTAATTAAAAAATTTAAAAAGGATTGACAAAATTACGAGGTAATTAACAAATCATCAATGATACTATAATTAACAAATTAAACATTTTACAAAGTTTATTCTATTAATTGAAACTGAAACAGGCAAAGAGAGGAGAAGAACACAAGCAATATATAAACAGAATTTCAGAATTATATAAGAGAGCAAAAATAGCGTTTAATTATTGAATTGCTGGCAAGAAATAACAGATGCAAATCAAACAATTACAAAACAATCAGTAACATGAAATAAAGAATAAAATTAATTATTATAGCTTATATAAAGATTCAGTTTGTAAAACAACAACAGAAATTAAACAAAATATTTTTATTTAAAAGAAAATGTAGTCACGATTATAGCAGCCAGATTAGCAGTCAACTGCAAACTGAAGTTTCAGAACTAAGAAAAGATAAACAAAAAGTTCAGGTTATATCAAGAGTGAGGAAACAACTTCTGACCTCAAAAATTAACACGAGCAGAGAAAACTAAATTTATAAATAGAGTTTACGCAACCAAAAAATTTAATTACATTTAAAGTTTTTAAAAAAATAAAATCATATAGCAAAATTTGATATGAACTAATGTTGTAGAAAATTGTATTGCAAGAAGGACACAATATGAGGAAAACAGCAACAGTTTCAGCATTTATGGAAAATTCAAATATAAACACAACTGGTATCGAAAATCTCAGCAATAACAGTATTAGTGAGATTTTCATTTTAAGATAGACGTGTAAATATGCAGTATATAAGAAAACAACAGATTGATATCTTAAGGAGCACTATACGCACCATAATAGGTTACAGATCATCAATTTGACTAATTTCCCTAAAAAACAATTGCGGAGATCAAATAAACAGGATGTCTGATTTAAAAAGAAATAAGAGTGCTTCGTAGTCTATGATTTTGAGAACAAAATAAGACTAAAAGGAATTAAACCAGCTGATAATTTTTTGTTATTACAAAAAGAATGCAAGAATTTATATGTGTTTAATTAGAATTTCAGAATCACAATAAGGCTCCGTTTGCTTTGGAAAATAACTTGCTGAAAATAACTTACTAGAAAATATTTTCCATGGAAAATATTTTTCAGGAAATACCTTATTTTCCAACGTGTGACTATTACATGAAAAATAACTTGGAAAATATTTTTCACCATCTGATAGAACATTAAAAACTTTTTCCTTTTAAAACAATGTTACAATGCAATGCATAAATCACTTATGTTGATGGAGTTACAGCTAAAGAAGGGAAACCGGCCTTTGATACAATATTAGCTATTAAAGAAGGGGAAAAAAAGGCCCAAAATTATGTGGCAGATAGCTTACAAGACAAACTAAGCATATGACCAAACCACCAGAATTAACCGAGCCAGTGATCAAGAAGTGACTGTAATTAAAATAGGAGCAGAGTATTTTTGCAATTCTCTAATTCCTTACATTCCTTTCCAAACAGTGGCCAATTGGGCAACCCAAAAGACAAGAAAACAACCAAATTCTAACCGGGAAGTCCCTAACCAACGCAAATATTGGGAATATGAAGATTCTTTAATAAATTTAGGTAAAAGGAAAGATTGCCTCACCACCAATCCATGTTTCAATTCCATAAGAATTATATTTGCAACAACAACTGTGGCAATTCCTTGCCACCAAGCCATTCCAAGGTCAACAAGACTACCTACTAAATAATATGATGGTACCCCTGCAACAAGACCAATCCAAGCTACTATACAGATTTTCACAACAATTCCTGGGATATGAAATCAGGCACTCAAGAAAAAAAAAAAAAAAAAAAACAAGACCAACCAAGCTACTACACAGATTTTCACAAACAATTCCTGGGATATGTAATCAGACACTCAAGCTATATTAAGGAACATACGTAAATATTCATAAAGTTTGATATTCAAAGTGTGAAGGCATCATGATGCAAATAACCTAAGTTACCAAGAACCCACACAACTAATGTTGATTGCAGTGCAATTAAAAGAGCACGAAAATTGAACTTGGTGAACACAACTAATGTTGATTGCAGTGCAATTAAAAGAGCACGAAAATTGAACTTGGTGATGGCAAACTTAGTAATCACAACAACCAAACTTGAACCCCTCTTGGTTAATTGCTTTGTGGAATCAACTCTAATCTAGAAATAGACTTGGGTTAATCAAGGTGGTCCATGAAAAGAGGCTAAGAGAAATCAATTGAAGAACATAGACTCAATTGATTAAACTGCTGATTAAAGTTGGAAAGAAATACTTGACTTTTAAAATGAAAATTAAAGATTAAAAAAGGCAAATGAAATTAATCAAGACTTTGAAGAGAGAGAGAGGGAGGAATCACAGATTCTACAAGGAAATAAAAATACCATGACTCAATAATGGGGAAAAGGCTCAATATCCAACTTTAACAAAAAAAAAAAAAAAACAAGCAAATTAATAAGATACAGATAAAAGGAAAGGACTAAATTAAATAAACAACTTATTTAAATAGTGAATTTAACGAATTAATCTAATAATTTTACCTACATATCCAACTGCTATGACTAGTCCAAATTCTACCGAAATTTCGGCAGCACCTCCCTTAAAAATAGGACTACTTGCCTGTTTAAATATCACAATAACATTGAATATTTTTCAATCAACACACATAGTCCATCCATCTGCAATACTTATCAATACATTCCCATCCGCCATAATCATTATTCATTCTTCTTAATCATTTGCCTAATTATTTTGCTCAATTCAAATCAATACCAACTAAACATCACATTCATAGTCTATCCAAAAAGCTATATAATCACAATAACAAAATAAACAAACGATAAATAGTTCATTCCCTTTTATTATGAACAGTTTACTAACAATATCCCATCATTGTACCAAAAGCATCCAAGATCAACTCATCCACAATTGTACCATAGGTTAATACATTCTTTAACTAACAACTAAATTGCAAATTAATAAAAGATAGCCAAGTGCTTGTTATTGATTCATGATTTACACTTAGAGATGATAAGGTCCAATATTATAATCATATAGAACTAAAAATTCCTTAACTTTAATTCACAACAATAATCAATTCTAGTTAATCTAAATTATCAATAATCTAATTGACTGACCAAGTCTTTCTAAGGTCACGCTAACTACTGCTTTACATAGCGATTTAGGTATTTAATTAAGTCGAATAGTGATTTTAATTACATATTCATAATCTACGACCTAATTCCTACATTCTGAGTTTAGGGATTTCCCGGTCACCGGAAATCGTCGCCGTCCACCGCAATCACCGCCATCCATGGTGGCCGGGGAGTAGCAGTACCGGATTTCACGTTTCTCTACACCAAGTTGTTTCAAATTTCATGAAGCTTACAAATCCCTTATCAATTTCCATAATTCATGCCATAATCTGATATAATCACTAATTTCTAACAATTGAATCTTAAGTTCAAGTTCTCCTAAAACCTCCAATTAATTCACAAACTTCAAGACCTAATATTTCAAAGTCCTTCAATTCCTAAGCCCAAATCCAAATTAATTTAAAGAATACTGAATAGAAGTAGAAGTGGCTAGAGTTCGATTTACCTTAGTGAAAGAAACCATCAAAAAGAGTTTGGCTTATCGGAAAATCGAAGAAGGGAAGCTGTCTAATCCACACAGCTTCGTTTTGCGCTAATGGAGGTATGTTCGGTGAGGAGGCAAGAGTCAGCGACGAGAGGAGCATCCCGATACCAGTCTTGCCGATTGGGACTCGCCGGATGTCGGAAAAGCGAGTCGGAGGGGGCTAGCGGCGCCACATGAGAGAGAGAGAGAACGCGTCGATTCATCTTAGTCAAGCTCCATCCGGCGAAAGGGAGGTCGGAACTGAGGTCGCCGGCATCCAGGGAGTTGATCGCCGCCTAGCTTCGCCGGTTTGGTGGCCGGAAAACTGATCGGGAAAGGGAAGGGGGACATCGCTTAAAAATCTAAATATATAGATAATATTTAGTTTTAGAATGTTACTTTAATAACACAATGCTACAAAAGGGGTTTTGTTTTATTTTTTTAATAGAAAAGTCCTATAACAATAAATACACCTTTTGATATAAGAAAAATAACTAATTTTAATTTTAATTAATTAATTTTTTTATATATAATTTTATTCATCCTTCTCATCTAGCTCCACAAGGAAAATTTTAGATTTTTAATTTTTTTTTTTTTTTATGAAAATTGAATTTCATAGAATAGAAGAAGTGGCCATCTCAGCCATTACAAGCGACACAAAAATTTTAGATTTTTAATTTGATTAATTTAGAAAGTTTTGAAAATAAAATTACGAGGATATCACACTTTTTTAATATTTTATTTAATTTTAAACTTTATTTTTGATATTTGTTAAGTTGCCCCTAGAAAATAAGGGAGGATGAAAAATATTGGAGAAAAAATAAAGAGAAAAAAATGTAAAAGATTTTTTTTTATGTTTAAATTAGTTTGCAATTATATGTGTCACGACCCGACTCCGTGGGCCGGACCGGCACTAGGGCCCAGGTAAGCATAAGGCCCCCGAGGCCCGTAGTAAGCCTAATTACTCAACTTATACGTTCCATGCCATTTATAAAAAGTAACGCATATGACAAGGCCCAATTTAAATGCACAACCCGATAACTGCGGAGTTCAATAATATTCTGATAATAGAGTAATTTATACATCCAAAATTAAATAACAGAAATATAAAGTTTACATTTATAACTCTGCGGAGAAGATTGCAGAGTTTCCGTTGGATCAGCAACTTCCTACTACCTGAGAAGTTTAGAGAGAAGGGGGTGAGTTTTGCAACTCAGTGAATAATAATAAATAATACACACCAAGAGAAGGGGGTGAGGTTTTTGCAAACTCAGTGAATAAATAATAAATAATACACACCACATACAGTCAATGCAAAATGCGCCCTAATATACTGAATGATCACAACAACATCAATCAATATAGCATAACATCAGCACCCACAAACAATATCACCTTCAAATAATCACATCACGTGGAAATTAGTCAGTGGAAGTCACCGGGTACCCCCGATGAGCCGTCCTCCACATGGCTCATCTCTCTCACATGGTGCAACAGGGAGCCGATCCGCATACTGGCGACCGGTCTAATCTCACTTGCCAGCCCTCTCATTGTTTTTTCTAATCCTCGTCTTTCTTTTCATACCAACAGGAGCAACCCCGGTGGTCTCTCATCCAATCTAGATCATCAAGCCGCTACAACAGGAGGCCACCCTGCGGGCTGCGATCAAATCTAGACTGTCCGGCTGCGCAAGCGACGAGAAGCACCCGTGGTTTTAACGGTAACGGTAGTGCACACGGGGGCGGCGGATCTCCCCATTTTACCTCGGAATCATATTGGATCCATATAACGGTACGGTCTCACAGTCCCATGGTGACCTACTTCATCCCAATTCCACACAAACAAATCACAATATATGCACAGCACAATCATTCAAACAATTCTATCAACGTATTGCACCAAATTCATCCAAATACGTAATTATACAATATAAAATGCATATGAGTTTAATATAAAAATATATAAGATTTGTAACAAAAATGCTATGCAAATGCATGTTGGTCTGCATTATTTATTATTACTCACAGTGATGGAGAGCGAAGTTCTAGCTCTGATGTTGTCCTGGAGGAGCACTAGATGGAGCACTAGATGGACGCCCGGTAAGCAAAGTAAGAACGACACAAAAGAAAATAATTCTATCAGACAATATTTCTTTACTACTCTAAGAATTTTATTTTATATTCTACATTTTTTTTTTCTACATAAATAAATCTCGATATTTAATTTCTTTTCTGTACTAAAATTTTTTATTTTTCTATCTAACTCTATTTTATTTGTTTTCGTCTGAAATATACTTTATTTACTATTTTATTTTCTACCAAGATTTATTTTATTTTCTACCAAAATTTCGGCAGCATCTCCCCTAAAAGTTGGACTATCCACCTGTTACAATATCAACAATATATCTAATATTTCCAACCACACAGCCCATCCATCGGGCAATCAATCAATTAAATTTTTCATCCTCCATCAATTTAATTTTTTCCCGTCCTCCACATTTATCCACATCAACTATATTAATTTTTCTTTAATTCCATAAATCATAATTTCCCAACAATTTCAAATTTCCCAACAATTTTACCAGAATTTAATTTTAATTAATCAAATATATTTTTATTAATCGACTCATCAACACTAAATTAAATTAATTCAACTAATCAAATTTGCTAAATTAAATTACCTAATCAAGATTACTAAAATTAATTTAATTAACTAAAATTACTAAGTTAAATTATACCCAAATTACTAAAATAAATTCTGAGAATTAGTAAGAATTGCTCTATACCCCAAGTATAATTTTTGTTGAATTTTGCTAGATCGGAAAGGCTTACGCGTGCTAGATCGGAGCTACGCGCATCGAGACTGCGAGCAAGTGGCGCGATCTACTGGACAGCAAGGATGGTGGCGCGATGAACTCGAGGAGCTGTGGCGCTGCGATTTGGCTGAGGATGAAGCGCTGCTGCAGGTGAGGAATAAGCGCTGCTGCAGGTGGAAGCCGCTGGCTGTGGGCGCGCGGAAAGGAAGCGGCGGAGGCGGTGCTGTGCGCGGAGATGTGAGGCGGTGCGACTGGCTGTGGATCGCGCCTCTGCTGTTTGCTGGCTGAGGTTCGACGCAGGCGGCAGTCACAGCAAGAAAGAAGAAGAGAGGAAAGAAGAAAAGGGAAAGAAAGAAAGAAAGAAAGAAAGAAAGAAAGAAGAAGAAAGAAGAAGAGGAAGGAGGAAGGCCTGCTGTGATGGTGAGGAGTAGAGAGGTGCAAGCGCTGGAAAAAAAGAAAAGGGAATTTTGGGTCGAACGGTTCGCATTTCGGTTTCGATTTGCGAACCCCAATCTTTGATTTTCGCTTGGTTGTTTTTGACTTTTTCCAATCGGGTTTTCGGTTCGGTTTCTCACAGGTGTTCGCACTTAAAATAGTGTTCGCATTAAAATATTAAAATAAATTTCCAAGCTGTCGGTTTATTAAATTTAATTGGAAAATCTTTGAAAATAAAAATTCGAGTTGTTTCAATACGTGACATAACAATTATTGTTATTAAAGTTGGGATGATATTCCCCATTTTTTGTTGGAACTCTATCCTTTAAGTTAATGAGTTATTATTTTCCTTTCAAAAAAAAACTATTGTTATTGAATTATGCTAAAATGTTACTAATTTGCCATCTAAAAACTTTTTATTAATAATAATAAGTAATCATATATTTAATCATAAATTATTGATTATTTAAAATTTTAAAAATTATTAATTTGATTTTTATATACCTCAAGTACTTATATGTTACTTAATAACTATTATTATTGAATTGTATTATGCTAAAATGTTGCTAATTTGCAATCTAAAAGTCTTTTATTAATAATAATAAGTAATCCTATATTTAATTATAAATAGTTGATTATTTAGAATTTAAAAAACTATTAATTTGATTTTAGAAACGTTGCTTACCTTAACGAATACTTCATTTGCTTCAAGCTTCAACCACCAAACCTTTTCTCTCTATTTCTTTTACTCAAAATCCTAATAAAAATAACTATTATTCGCTATGCATAAAATTAGTTCAAATAGATTAAAAGTATTTATTGTTTTAAATAAATTATGGTACTTTTTCATTTATTGGATGTGAAATGAGCTGAAATTAAAAATGCTTGTAAATTATGTATTAGAAATAACTCTCCTCTCCTTTTAACAGCTGTGATGAAATTCTTGTAGATAAAGTCGAAGAAGACTCAAATTAGAAATTGTTCAAAAAATATTATATTTTTAATTTCAACTAATATGGAAAATATAGAATATTATTTTGTCAAATAACTATTTCATATTTAAAATTGAACTAAATAATTATTTTATTCTCATCTTATTTCTTAAATTAATAAGGCTTTAGTTTCACCTTTTATGCCTCAGGTTTTTTTATCTGTTTTTCATATAATAGATCTATTTTTTTTATTATTATTATTGTTTTGTTTTCATATTTAGAGTTTTTTTTATCCCTTTTTATTAGGATTTATTACTAAATAAAAATATAATATTTGATTTTATTTGGTTGGAGGCTTTAAATCTTAATTTGCAGGTGTAAATCTTCTATTAATGGAGTCTGGTAGTGCAAAATATTTCTCTATTGATGCTATTAACGCATGGTGGGTGGAAACTCATCCATTTTCATCATATGTTGCAAATTATTAGAAAAGCAATCCAAGTATAAAAGATTTAGAGAAGTTACTTTTTAGTTGTCTAAATTAATGAAGGGATTAATTGCTACTATGAAAATTCATATCTTTTTGTCACTATCAACTCTAAGCGAAAATATCTAATGTTATCTTTTTTTTAACTTTAATTTCATTATTCGAAAGAATTCATATTTTATTTCTTTCGTTAAGGGATCAACCAACTCTATTAGCTACTAACAGTAAAATTTTATATATGGTCTATATGGGTATTTGTAATTGTTGATATTATTATTAATGAATTACATTTAAAAAAAAAAAGAAATATTTATTTTTAAGTTCTAACCTTTTGCTAATATTATAAAGGATTATACTTGCCTAAAACGGATCCATGACCCACTAATTTACAAAATCAATAAAAATTTGATGTTTTTAAAAATTATTTCCATTTTATCTTTTTTTTTTTTTTTACCCACTAGACAAGTTAATCCCATAGAGACATGTGGCTTTCGTCCTACAACATGTGTATTTCTATTATCCTATATCCAATAAACATAATTTGATGAAATTTGAAAGTTATATGTAAGATTCATGAATGTTTTCATTTACTCGTCAACTGCTTGAATGTAATAAGTTTATGGATCACATTTTATACCCCTCTTCAGCAAGTTTGGTGTTCGACTTCACTATTATTAGTTAGAAAAAACATAGAGAAGACACTAATAACTTCAATAGAGCATTATAATAGAGCTTTTCGGGTCAACTTATGCATAACAATGATCA